CTGTTGGCTGGAAGAGTTCCTCACCTGGAGGCCTAGTCGTGTCTGTTTATGTTTACTCTCTTGTCAGCAACTTTCCTAGTTTCCCGTGTTACTCGGGGAAACAAGGGGGAAATGAGCTTGGGATGGTAGGTGTTTTTGTTTTGGCTTTCTTCTGTTTGTTTAGTTGTCATCCACATCTCTAGTCTGCCAGAGGTCATGTGGGATCCAGCCCTAAATCTAGTTGAAGGTTTTTATTCTCATGTTTAAGTCCAGGGGTTTCTCTGTATTTAAGAGCCATTCAACTTTTGAACAGGTTTCAACTTCTCATACAGTTTTAGCAGGTGGGGAGGTGGGGCGGGGAGCTCTTGTGGGACTCCAGAATCAATTCTTAGAATGAGAATCATTTGAGGAATTAAACTGAAATTAGGATTTTTGGGTTTTTTTTTCTTTTTTTCTTTCTTTTTTTTTTTGTCTTAAAGGAAAATCGCATGTATCCCCATAGTTTATTTCCACAGAAACTTAGAAACAAGATGTGTGGATTAGATTCCCTTACTGACCTACTGCTAAGAGTAGCAGCTGGTCCTTGCCATCTGTACTATAATCACCAATGGTCCTGTGTATTGGCCATAGTCCTAGATATACTTCCCTTCACAAACATCCATTTTAACATCTTGTAAAGCCCTGGATTTGATTCATAAAATAATAGCACAACCTTCCTCTCTCTGGAGAGTGAAGCAACCATTCTGCTTTGCTTAATATGTTTTAGTTTCCATTTAAGAATGTATACTGGCAGGGATTTGAATTGGTGGGATATAGAAAAATCTTTCATTGAAAGTGTCCAAGTGTGTCATCTTGTATTTGGAACGTTCCAATTTCTTGGGAAAAGGCAGTGAGCCCACTGGCTTCAAATTACTATTTATTTTATGCCTTTGAGCACCTATGGAGAGTTCCCTCCAACTTAAAGCACTGTGCCATCCCCCAATATTTGAAGCGAACCATTTAGAAACCAAGTGCATGTTTTTGTGTGGAATTTGTATCTATATGTCAGCCCACATGAAGGCACCAATAGCTGATGTTTACTAGTAATGGCAAAAGCCACCTAGCTTTGAACCAGCATTATAATCAAAGTGAACGAGCCTCCAGCCTGGGAGCTTCCTTCTACCTGTAAACATTGTGGCTAGTGGCAGTGGGATGGCAGACTCCTCCATCTCAACTTTATCAGCTTTGCAATTTCAGATGAAACTTCCTCAGCTTCACAGTTCGGGACTCCCGTGACTGGGAACAAAGTGAAGAAAAAGAAACTGCAATCGTCTCCCACCTGGAGACTACTGAGGTGTGGAGAGATAAATGTAAGGGCTGCAGTGAAGAGTTGTTATCTAAGAACTCTAAGTTCAGTCTTAAAGAAGCCCTGGTGCACTTTCTTTTTTATTTCTTTGGTGGTTTCAGGAATGGCCGCTATCCGTTTTGTGTCATCTTGTCTGTCGCTTCTCATAAAAGATTCTTCACCTGAAACCACAGAGGAGTTAAATGCCAGCTTGGTTTTTCTCTTATCTGTGGGCGTGCTATAGGAACAAAATAATATTTGGAGTTTTCTTAAAAGGGTGGAAATGCTCTTGCCTGCATTGACCCGCCCAGTGTTATCCACCTGAGCCTCCAAAGAGTTCAAAGAGCCCACAGTTAAAGAAAAGCCGGATTCTGCTAGGCATTTCATCCTTGGATCTGGCATAGGCTGAGTGAAGGAGGACTAAAATATCTAAGTGGATATACAGTCCTTGCTGTTAGCAACACACAGTTTATTAGTGACCTTGACAAGAGCTGTTTCAGAGGAGTAAAGGGTCAAAAGCATGATTGGAGTGGGTTCAAGAGAAAAATAGGAAGAAAGGAACTGAGACAGTAAGAATGGGAAATTCTTCTGAGATGTTTTGCTGTAAAGGCAGTCAACAATTGAGGTAGTAAATGGAGGATGTGGAGTCAAATACATTTTTTTTTCTCTAAAGATTGGGGTTATTACAACATACTTGTATGCTGAGGGGAGTGATCACATGAAGAAGGAAACCTTTCCTGTAGAGAAAAGACACAGCTGGCAGAGGAATGTCCTTGAACAGACAAATGACAGTAGTATGTGGTACTCACTGTGAAGGATTGTCTCAGGGGAGCACAGGAGACCCTGAAGAGGGAAGGAGTCTATATGCAGTGAGTAGCTATCGGAGGCGGGTGGAAGCTTATGGGAGTTCTTTTCTGATTGTTTCTCTGAATGAGTTAAATGACAGCGTAGGAGAACATGTTGGACATTTGATAAGAAAGGAGAAGGTGTGAAATATTGGTCTAGGAGAATGGAAGAATGAATGGACGAGGGAATTGCAATAGTAGTAAGGTCATACTTGAAATTCACGGTCACAAATTTCAGTAAGACCCAAAAAAGAAAAGGAGCACATGTATGACCTTGGACATACTGTACTGAGATAGTTTACATGGGTCTGTGGTCTGCTTTACATAGTTATTGAGAGAATTAAATATGACAGAAAGCATTTTGAGGTATAAGTACAGGATATGATTATTGTGAAACTTAGCTTGGAATTACTTAGCACTTTTCTTTGGCAAAAAGCTTTTCAAATTTGTTTAAGACAGCCTTAGTATCTCTAGAGACAGCATTTGGCTTCTGCCACTGATTTACTCAGTAACTAAGTCTAACCAAATGCCTTAACCTCCTTTTGCTTTTACCTCTCAGTCTATAAAATGAGGGGGGTAATGTTAAGAGTGCAACAAATGCGTTATAAATAAAGGTACTATATAAATGCGAGCTGTTAATAAAATGATGTTTCAGGCCTCACCGGTATAGTCACCAGAAAGTCAGAACGGTCAGCTTTGGGTGATAGATGCATCCCTTAAGAAGCTTTTATAGACGGGTGCCTTGGTGGCTCGGCCGTTTAAGTATCTTCCTTCAGCTCAGGTTATGATCTCTGGGTCCTGAGATAGAACCCCATCGGGCTCCTTGCTCTGCGGGAGTCTGCTTCTCTCTCTCTCCCTCCTTTTGCCCCTCCCCACTGCTTCCTCTCTCTCTTAAGTAAATAAAATCTTAAAAAAAAAAAAAAAAAGCAGCAGCAGCTTTTATAGAAGTGGAAAACAAGCATCTTGAAGCTAGTGTCACCCACATTGGTTGCCTTAATTCTCACAACTACTCTTTGATGTTGATTATTAGAACCTAAGACACAAAGTTTAACTTGCTAAAGCCAAGCAGAAGTGTGGATTTCAATCCTCAAAATCCCATGCCCTTTTTTCATTTTGCCACATATGGAATTGGGCTTGAACCATTCATAGCCAGAGAAGGTATGGAATACTTTGTGTCTATGATGCACCCATATTTCAGCCAACTTACCGTCGTCTTTGCCATAACAACCGGAGCTAGAGTTGCCCAGCATCAGAATACCAGTGACTTCATTGGCGGCATCCTCCTGATAAAGTCGTTTACCAGAAATCAAATGACAGGAAAAGACAGGAGCATCTGTGACAGTAAGCTGACCAAAGATTTCCACTTAGCTACAAATGCAGTTCTCAGACATTCTGGGGACAGGAGGGTGGATACTATAAAAAAGAAATAATAATAAATTCGCACAGTCATGGCAACTGCAGGAATACTATGACCTCTGTCCTCTTAACTGCAAACACAATATGTACATTATAAATTATAAAGCATAAACAGCTCTAAGAAAATCAGTGCTCTGTTAGATTTTGATTTTTGAGTAACAATTGGCCACCTGATAGAGGAGGTGATAGGAAAACTGTATTTATTTTCTTCCAACAGCTAAAAGGTGATCATACTTCTAAAATTTGTTGAGATTGTCCAGGAAAGTGTGTAAAATACTCATCCATCACTGGAAGCCCCTGGTCAGGAAATGACAGGGCAGTAAATATCTTCAGCAGCCACCTTTTAATGTACAAGCTGTTTTCGGTTGGAATTTTCAGCACTCACATAAAACACACTGTCATGAGTGACTGCTTGTGCTCCAAAGTCATTACTATTGGGATAATGGAACATCTCTCAGCGAATAAGCAAAAAACTTTAAATGTCATGTCAAGTTTGTTGAAGCCATTTTCAAGCCCTGTTCAAGGTTACATGAACATTGAGGGTGTCTGTTTTTTAACAGCTGGAGGTCTAATAACTCATAAGGTTGTGCGATAGGCCAGTCAGTTAATTAAAAGAAAATCCAGCATTCCCTGTGAAAGTCAATCAGTCAGAGCCATCAGTCCTGAGCTATTGCGACTCTCCTCTTCCAGCCTTCCACACCGGTCTCAGTGTCACTTATCAATAAAAGAATACATGTGTGCATATGTATACAAGTCTGTGAATATATGTGTGTATATTTGATGGAATAGGCCATAGTTTTGATTTGCTAGTAAGATTTAATTTGCCTGCCAAATGCAGTATTACTTTTGAAGGAAATCATTGAGTTTTTAAAGACCTAGTAAAAAAATTTCCTTTCTGTTTTAGTTTTAAGGAAAAAAAAAAATCTCATTATTATTGCAGCTAATGTATATCTTGGGTCCTAGAGTATGGAGAGGATTTCCTTACCCAGTACCTATTGAGCGCCACTTTGCCCCAGGGCGGTTTTAGGCCCTGATGTTTAGAACAACGTCCCTGTCATCTGGGAGGTCACATCCTAGTAGAGAGACAGACAGTGGACCAGTAAACAGGTATATGATGTGTCTGGTGGTTAGAAGTTCTGTGAAGAGGGGTCAATGTGTGATGGAAAGGGGTGGCGCTCTTTCTGTTGAATGGTCCTAGAAGGCCTCTCTGCTTAGTAGAGCATTTGAGCAGAGACCAGAAGGACATCAGCATGGATGCTAAGGAAAGGGTTGTCTATTTATATTTTATTCTTAAACTACATGTATTTATTTCCAACCTACCTTTCTCTGAATATTTTAAGAGGACTTGAGAATAATTGTTTTAAATTAATGTTTCATAATGTGCAGTCCTTCCTTATCACAGTGATAAGTCTCTGTTTCTCTCTTCCTTACTATAGAAAACCAGAAAGTGCATTTGACAGAAGGATCACGTTCACACTACAATATCAATTGCAACTCAACAAGGACTCCAGTCGCCAAGGAGCTTAATTATAATCTAGACACTCATACATCTACGGGGAGGATCAAGGCAGTTGAGAAGAAGGAAGCCTGTAATGTAGAAAGCAACAGAAAAAAGGAAATGGAACTTCTTGGCTCTGTTTCTAAAAACGAATCTGTTCCTGAAGTTGAAGCCCTGCTGGCAAGATTACGAGCTTTATAAATTAAACTGGTAAAAAATGATTAAGCCAAATATAAAACCATGCTCTAAGCGATACCACTTGAAAAAAATTGCTTTTTATATAGGTAACTTTATATAGCTTAAATTATGGCCTATATTAGAAAAATAAAGCTAAATAACATGATTGCAGTGCTTTTTCTATGTACTTGAGGTCTTGGCGTATTCAAGATGGTAATGGGTTTTAATGCTTTTCTTGTCTCCTGGTATTCATGTGTTCTATATTTGGTGGTGAAATTATACATAATGCTTTAGAAAACAGGTAGGTAGCCATGTGTTCAGCAATGTGTCCTGAAGAAAATACCATTTTTCTAAGTCACCGTAGTTTTTACTGTACTGTTTTCAGCATTAATGAATCTCAAATCATCGGTGTTAACTCTTGATATATATACATACATGTATGTACATATATGTATATACATATCCCATGCATGTTGTTTATATGGGTCCAAGTTTCTCTTTCATTGGATCTTCAAGCTATCAACGTAACATCAGAAACATAAAATGGAATGTAAGAGAGCTATGAGGAAATGCATGTAAGCTCATTGCTATCATTGTTGAATTCATGCTCATTAGACCCTGTAAGAGACTATAAGGCCATTGGGCACATATCCAAAAATGATATACTAAGAATGTATGCACTTTTTGTAAAACACACCTGCTTCTGTATCAAGAGGATATATATGATACTACAGTGCTGCCCAAAGTCTGAACTGAGAGAGAATTTTTCCCTTGGTAATTGTGACTCTGGGATAGAATTGCCATTTTGAAACTTCCCAAGTAACAGATTTTTTTTTTCTGTGAACAAACTTGAAATTGCAGTTTCTTTGATCTGACAATCAATAAGTTTAACAAAGATCTAAAGTGTGTCAAGGAAGGTTTTCCTATGCAAATGTTGCAATTTTACCTCATTTAGGGCATCACATTAACTCTTAATTCTATGGTCAAGAAAATAAAACTTGCTACTTGCACTAAGTGAAAAAAAATCGGGGCTTTTTTTTTTTTTTTTTTTTTTTTTGCAGTTAGCATATTCTGTGGATAAGCTGTAACTTGACTGTGCTCTGCTGTCTATCTAAACATCTATTTGGCTTTATTATGTGCAGTAAGTAAATGACTGCTCTTTTACCTTCAGTTAAAAAGCAGTTATGTGGAACCAGTCTGTGAGGTCCACTGCTTTTTATTTCCTTGTTTAAGTTGCCACCTCCTTTCAGCTCCAAGTTAATAAAGTTAATTAATTAGAACTATGAACCAGGCCCCATTTACAGACATTGGGAACGGTGCTATCCACAGCCTGTGTAGGAAGAAATTGTTCTCCTATGCATTGCTGAAATAGGAATTGCAACTGGAGGACAAAAATGCATATTTTCCTGAGAACAAATCCTCAAACTCAGAAAGGTGAAGGACATTGACACATTTTAGCAGACAGGACCCTAATGACAAGAAAAGAAGCTAAATAAAAGAATGCTGTCAGTTCTTCATGTGATTCTGCAAAGACTGGGGCTTTTCAGAGACGACACTGAAATCCAATCAGATAGTTTGGACATACCGGGTGGCAGGTAAATACTCCAGAAATGGGGCCAGAGAGCAGCCACTCGGGAGCAGCAGCCTGGCAAGTAAAGGGAAATGAAGATGACACAGACCCCCAGGGGCAGAGAAATGCAGGCCAGGCCTAAGCCGGAGCCATCAGGCCCCAGAGCATCTGTCTGTAGGAGCTGAAGGACAACCATCTAGCAGGAGGACCAGGAGCCCAAAGCTAGCAGAGCACCAGCGGGAGCTGGCCTCCTGCAGCTTAGCAACCCACTCTCTCACCATCACTGACAGGAGTCTGAGCAGCCCGAATAGGGGACCATGTTTTTTATTTTCCTCTCCACAGCTAAAGAGTTCACAGCGGTAGGAGCCAACCAAGAAACAGTCAAGTGCTTCTGCAGAGATTTCACTGATAAATGTGCCTTCAACAATGGGTGGGAGGGTACGATTAGGGTTTTATGAAAAACTCTTAATATTCCTTTAGCCAACTGTAGCTGGAAACTATAGTGATGACTTTTAATTGGAGGGCAGACATTGAGATACAATTTCATGTTTTTGAGCAAACAGTCTATTCATTTGAATTAGCAGGTCAACTTGAAGCCAAAACACAGCTCAGCACCTGTGATGAAGATGTTCTACCCAGGCCAGTGACAAACCCTGAATAGGTTCTCAACCCCTCTCTGGTCAGTGTAGAGAATTTGGCAAAAACACACAGAAAGCTAAGTGATCACTGAGTTGTCCAAAAGCAAAGACCTGCTAATAAGTTTTTCCAGTCAAATAATTGAAGTGATTTAAAAATAAGGGAAGCAATCTAATCATAAAGCACATCCCATCTCCCCACCCCCCATCATCTTCAGGGGATATATTCAAAGACAACCCCCCAGGGGATGCCTAATTGCAGATAATACTAAACCCTATATATATTTTGCTTTTTCCTATACAAAGTTTAATTTCTAAATTAGGCATAGTAAGAGATTAATAGCAGTAACTAATAATAGAATAATTTTAATAATATGCTATAATAAAAGTTACATGAATGTAGCCTCTATCAAAATATCTTAACATAGGGGCACCTGGGTGGCCCCATCAGTTGAGCATCTAACTCTTGATTTTGGCTCAGAGCTATGAGATTGAACCCTATGCCAGGCTTCATGCTCAGCAGAGTCTGCTTGAGTTTCTCTCCCTCTGCCCTCCCCCCACTCTCTCTCTCACTCTTTCTCAAGTAAATCTTTTAAAAAATCATAGTGTAATCATAATGTACTATATTTTTCCTTCTTTTTGTGGGTGTGAGATGATAAAATGCCTCCCTGGTGATTTGAAATGAGGGGAAGGACACAGACATAGTGTTAGGCTGCTATTCACCTCTGACCTTATGTCAGAAGGAGGATCCTCTGCTTCCAGATCATTGTTGAACCACAAATAACTGAAAGCATGGAAAGTTAAACCAGAAGTGGAGGCACGGAGTGTACTACCCTATATGCATGTATGTCCTTTGTTAACATTTAAATATTAAAAAAACTATATCAAAGTTTATATGAAGAAGTAGACATTTCAATAATTTCTATCAAAAACATTGAGTTTCCTGTTAAAAACTAAATCATTTAGGCTATATCTATGCTATATTTCATCATATTAAACTCTCCTTTATGGGTAACCACAGGTAGGCTGGGAGCATATTTCATGGCTACTTTTGTGCCAACCTTATGTACTGACTATGCAACTTTTTGGAAAGTAACAGGTCCTAAAAAATAAACAGCTAATTTGATTGAAACTCAGAAAGGGGCATTCATATTCTTTTTCTTCATATTAATTATTAAAATTCTTGAAGTCCATCAGTTGAAATCTGACAGTGTAACAATACTCAGTTTTGTCTAGTTAATTGTTGAAAGTAGTTATCACCTGTCCTTGCCAGGCAAGAGTGTTCTTAAAATGTGTACTAGGGCCAAACTCTGACACCATTTTGCTCTAAGAGTTACGCTTTAGCAAAAACATATGATGTTGCCAAAGAACCACAAGACTGGATGGCATTTCAAAACTGAATCCAAATCTCCCCATAAAACCTAATTAATACGGACATTAGTAATATGTCAGAACTGGAGTTTAGAATGACAATTATCAAGGTGCAAGCTAGGCTTGAAAAAAGCATGGAAAAGACTAGAGAATCACTTTCTGGAGAAATCCCTTTCTGGAGAAATAAAAACTAAAATCTGAGCACGTTGAAATCAAAAAAGCTATTAATGAGGTGCAATAAAAAAAACAGGCTCCTACTGCTAGGATAAATGAGGCAGAAGAGAGAATTAGTGAGATAGAAGACCAAATGATGGAGAATAAAGAAGCTGAGAAAAAGACAACTACTGGACCTCAAGGGGAGAATTGGAGAGATAAGTGATACCACAAGATGAAACAATATTAGAATAATTGGGATCCCAGAAGAAGAAAGAGACGGGTGGGCAGAAAGCATATTGGAGCAAATTATGGTAGAGTATTTCCCTAATATGGCAAAAGGAATAAGCATCAAAATCTAAGAGACACAGAAAATCCCCCCTCAAAATCAATAAAAATAGGTCCACACCCTGTCATCTAATAGTAAAACTTACAAGTCTTAGTGACAAAGAGAACATCCTGAAAGCAGGTCGAGACAAGAAGTCTGTAACATACAATGGTAGAAATATTAGATTGGCAGCAGACCTATCGACAGAGACCTGGCAGGCCAGAAAGGACGGTGCAATGATATATTCAGAGCACGAAAAGAAAATTACGCAGCCAAGAATACTATATGCAGGTAGGCTGTCACTGAAATAGAAGGAGAGATAAAAAGCTTCTAGGACAAAAAAAACTAAAAGAGTTTGCAAACACCAAACCAGCCCTATGGGAAAGATTGAAAGTGGTCCCCTAAGCAAAGAGAGAGCTTAAAAGTAACAGACCAGAAAGGAACAGAGACAATATACAGTAACAGTCACCTTACAGGCAGTAATGGCACTAAATTCATATCTTTCAATAGTTACCCCGAATGTACATAGGCTAAATGCCCCCAATCAAAAGACACAGGGTATCAGAATGGATGGGAAAAACAAAAACAAAACAAGACCCACCGATATGCACTCTACAAGAAACTCATTTTAGACGCAAAGACACCTCCAGATTTAAAGTGAGGGGGTGGAAAACAATTTACCATGCTAATGGACATCAAAAGAAAGCTGGGGTGGCAATCCTTATATCAGATCAATTAAATTTTAAGCCAAAGACTATAATAAGAGATGAAGAAAGACACTATATCATACTCAAAGGGTCTGTCCAACAAGAAGATCTAACAATTTTAAATATCTGTGCCCCTAATATGGGAGCAACCAATTATATAAACCAATTAATAACAAAATCAAAGAACACATCAACAATAATACAGTAATAGTAGGGGACTTTAACATTCCCCTCACTGAAATGGACAGATCATCTAAGCAAAAGATCAACAAGGAGATAAAGGCCTTAAATGACACACTGGACCAGATGGACATCCCAGATATATTTAGAACATACTTTCCCAAAACAACAGAATACACAGTCTTCTCTAGTGCACATGGAACATTCTCCAGAATAGATCACATGCTGGGTCACAAATCAGGTCTCAACCAGTACCAAAAGATTGGGATCATTCTCTGCATATTTTCAGACAACAATGCTTTGAAACTAGAACTCAATCACAAAAGAAAAGTTGGAAAGAACTCAAATACATGGAGGTTAAAGAGCATCCTACTAAAGAATGAATGGGTCAACCAGGAAATTAAAGAAGAATTTTAAAAATTCATGGAAACAAATGAAAACACAACTGTTCAAAATCTTTGGGACACAGCAAAAGTGGTCCTGAGAGGAAAGTATATAACAACACAAGCCTTTTTTAAGAAATAAGAAAGATCTCAAGTATACAACCTAACCCTACACCTAAAAGAGCTAGAGAAAGAACAAGAAAGAAAGTGTAAACCCAGCAGGAGA